GGTCCCTTTACTACTTGTACCTACCCTTGGTTGACGTTGGAAGGGGAGCAAAAACTTAAATTTTAGCAGTTAAGTGGTTGGAGTTCAACCACTACACCACAATAAGCAAACAGGTAAAATGTTTCCCAACGACAACCATGTGCCTATGGTGAAACGTCCAACAGCAGATAGCCATGGAGGAAAGGCCCAGCCATTTTGAAGGGCTTCCGGAAAAATGGTAACCGAACACCCCCAGGCAGGTTCCATGGCAACGATGGGAGGGTTGATGTACGGAGACCTCTGTAAAAAAGGAAAGGACACCATAGGATCTCTGGGATATGTGGCACAGGGCAAGGCCGTGGAAATGGACTTGAGGTAATCCACGACCGCCCTGAAACAGATGAACTATCCCCTGACTCCATCCTAGCAGCTTTTGCTGGGATCACTTCCAGCTTGTTTGGGGCTCGAAGTAGGGTTCCACTTGTCGCTTCCAGCCGGATTCATGTTGGAACCAAAGTCCAAAGACAGGCAATTCCATGCCTTCAACCAGGCGGGTTGTGAAAAGGCTGGGAAAACGCGGGCCAACGAACTGGCACAGCTAGGTTTTGCAAAGCCCCAAGCTGGAAAGCTGAAGCCTTGCCACCTCTCGTACTCCTGGGCTCTGTCAACGCAAGCCGAAGGTCGAGGCATTGCTGGAAATTGTTTAAGGGCCTTCGTTTTGGACGGCGAAGGTCGATCGCTTGCCAACTTGGATGTTTTAGGACCGCCTTCGTTGCCTCTCGCGCTGCGGCTGGCCCCATTCACGCGATGCGCACATGCCGGGAGTTCAGCCCTAGGCACATCTCTGGGCTTCAGCCCTAGGCAAGTTGGCAAGGTTGGTACCGGGCGGAAGCCTTTTGCTTTTGGCCCCACTTGGATGTACAACCTGCTTAGCGAGTGGGATAGAACAAAGGTTATATGTCCAAAGACTCCTTTTGTTCAACTTGTAACCATGGTTCTAACCTGATTGCTAAGCAGATTACACATCAAGTTGGACGGTTCCAGACTCACCAAGCGATCCGACCTGCAACTGTCGCAATTTGGATATGAACTTTAAGAATAGGGAACCCCTTGGTGGACACTATGTCCACCAACCATTTGAGAGGGTGCTCTCCATTAAAATTTCCCAGAGCCTGAAATAGCCATTGCGCAGGGCATTCCTGGTGGGCCCTGTTTATTCGGTGAGCTCGCCGTGTCAGAAGTGCGGGGACTCTTTTCCCATGGAAAAGGCCCAGAGCCACCGGTCCTTGCAGTCTGCAGCAGTGAAGTTCGGACTGGCCTTGGGTTGCACCATTTGCTTCTTCGTCCCCTGGAAAAACAGATTCCCTTTTTAAAACCAAGAAGGGAGAATAAAACATACCCCTGGAACAAAAAAATAAATACGTCCAACAGTGATAGAATCCCTTTTTAAAAGCAAGAGAAGACATATCAAAGATTCTTAAGCAAACGGAAGCATGGTGTGTCGTTTTGATACACCGGTGGATTCCCGCTTGGATTCAAAAACGGCCAAGCGAGAAAGACCTGGATACATGGATCAGACCCGTCCATCCCCAATGCAAGGCATGGGCTCTCTGGAAACGGAATCGGTTCTTGAAAAGAACGATGGCTCAAAAGAACGGGGAATCAACCCCTAGAAAGACATGGAGCAAATGGCAAACTGCATTTTTGTCTCAACATGGCAGGCACCTCAAAATGCGTGGTCTCCCTATAGTTACCCCCTTACAATAACACCAAAGATACCGTCAAGATGCGCCAGACTGTAAGCTCCAGGCCAGAAGCAAGGTACAGACCTGGCCGGCGACTGGGTTGGTCTCTCCATGCCAATGTGCGAATTCCAGACAACAATTTTCTAGGGCTACCTTTTCCATTCTGTCCAGGGACCCGAATCTTTCTAGCTCGTTCCTTGATGACGCTACTGCTTTGGTTTGGGAGACCAGTCAAGGTGCTTTCCTGTTTGGTGTCTGCTGCGGGTCCCCAAGCGTGACGGGCCCCAAACCAGCGGGCCAGCGCAAGCGCTGGCAATCCTCGCAAGTACGAAGTCGTGTCGCTCGCTGTGTCGAGCATGCAGATGTCTTTCGAGTGCAATCGCCCAAGTTTCTAGGGGGTTGACATGGTTGTTGTTGGGGAAACATACATTTTGGCTTATTATTGTTTAGTGGGAAATCCCACTTAACTGCTAAAATTTAATTTTTGCTCCCCTTCCAACGTCAACCAAGTTGAGTCCTTTTCCATTCCTTTCAACCATCGTTCTTTTCAACCACCGGACCCGTTTTTCCTGGTTCCTGGAGGTTTTCTAAACCAAATAAAAGAGACTGTGGGCAGTCTCACCAAAAACTAACGAAGCTATCAGCTCATTTCTCAAAACCGGGGCTAATGATTCTTGAGGAAAAGCAAAAGGAGAGCAGCCTCTTAAGACGTCCATATCCGCCGACATTGCTCGGCGTGTCGGATGCTTACTAGAGGATAGAGGATAACCCCCCCCCCTAACCCCCCCCCCCCGCCCGACGTCTATTACGTAGGTTTTTGGGGGGGGGGGGGGGGTCCCCCACGTACCGCGCGGCAATTTGATGACGTTCCACTAAACGTAGTCTTCGGGGAGCCGGTGTCGCAAAACAGGGGTCCCAGGCTCGATTCCCCCTGCCGGCTTTTTTGCTGGCTTGGGCTTCCTGCATCCTTTTGCCGAAAATCTGGAAAAACTCAATGTTTTTGGACGTCCTCTTTGCGAAAACGCTGGAAAAACCGTGTTTTTTTGCGGGAAATACATATGCATGCATACATACATACATACATACATACATACATACATACATACATACATACATACATACATACATACATACATTACATACATACATACATACATACATACATACATACATACATACATACATACATACATACATACATACATACATACATACATACATACATACATTACATACATACATTACATACATACATACATACATACATACATACATACATACATACATACATACATACATACATACATTACATACACATACATACATACATACATACATACATACATACATACATACATTACATACATACATACATACATACATACATACATACATACATACATACATACATACATACATACATACATACATACATGTACATACATACATACATACATACATACATACATACATACATACATACATACATACATACATACATACATACATACATACATTACATTACATACATTACATACATACATACATACATACATACATTACATACATTACATTACATTACATACATACATACATACATACATACATACATACATACATACATACATACATACATACATACATACATACATACATACATACATACATACATACATACATACATACATACATACATTACATACATACATTGACATACATACATACATTACATTACATTACATTACATACATACATACATACATTACATTACATACATACATACATTACATACATACATTACATTACATACATACATTACATTACACATACATTACATACATACATACATACATTGATTACATTACATACATACATTACATTACATTACATTACATTACATTACATTACATTACATTACATTACATTACATTACATTACATTACATTACATTACATTACATTACATTACATTACATACATACATTACATTACATTACATTACATACATACATACATACATACATACATACATACATACATACATACATACATACATACATACATACATACATACATACATACATACATACATACATTACATACATACATACATACATACATACATACATACATACATACATACATACATACATACATACATACATACATACATACATACATACATACATACATACATACATACATACATACATACATACATACATTACATACATACATACATACATACATACATACATACATACATACATACATACATACATACATTACATACATACATGCATTCATTCATTCATTCACATACATACATACATACATACATACATACATACATACATACATACATACATACATACATACATACATACATACATACATACATACATACATACATACATACATACATACATACATACATACATACATACATACATACATACATACATACATACATACATACATACATACATACATACATACATACATACATACATACATACATACATACATACATACACATACATACATACATACATACATACATACATACATACATACATACATACATACATACATACATACATACATACATACATACATACATACATACATACATACATACATACATACATACATACATACATACATACATACATACATACATACATACATACATACATACATACATACATACATACATTACATACATACATTACATACATACATACATTACATTACATTACATTACATTACATTACATTACATTACATTACATTACATTACATTACATTACATTACATTACATTACATTACATTACATTACATACATACATACATACATACATACATACATACATACATTACATACATACATACATTACATACATACATACATTACATTACATTCATACATACATACATACATAAATACATTACGTACATACATACTTACTTAGGTACTTACTTACTTACTTGCTTACATTACATACATACATACATACATACATACATACATACATACATACATACATACATACATACATACATACATACATGCATACATACATACTTATGTACATGCATGCATACATACGAGAGAGGGAGATTGGGAAGAGAGAGGCTTGGGGGGATGGGGAGGATGGGAGCAGAGGGAGGGAGAGCACACAAGGGAGACAAGGAAGAGAGGAAGAAGGAGAAAAGGGAGAGGACAATGTCGGCGGACTGAGCCGGAGGCTCTAAAGTATTTGAGAAACACCAATCAAAAAAATCTCCCGTGGGTTCCGGCAGCATGTGGAGCATCTTGGCCGGCACTCCCCACCCTCTTGGACCGGGGCATGTTGGGGAAAAAACTGCACTGTGGCAAAACACCCCTGCGGATGGAGAAAATCCACCAGCCGCAAGCGGCGGGTAGCTGGTGCATTTCAGCCTCACGGCTTGAAGTGGATTCTGTCCGTGCCTGGCAAAAAGCCTCGGCTCAAAAATGCCAGCAGGGCCATTGCATGCCCCTGGCCTCAGCCCGTGGCACATGGCGCTCAAAAGCATGCCAACTCCAAATAGATCATGCCAAAGCTGGCCACGCAGGCGTTTTGAGCTCTGCTTTTTCTACCCCTTGACCTGAGGGAAGGCGGTGAGTAGCAGCCTCAAAGAACGTTCGGAGGGTATGAGGCGCAAAGAACCGACCCAGGCCTGGCAACAAAAAACTGTCGTCTGCGGGCCACCCTTTGGAACTGGAACTGGTTGAAGAGATTGTCGAAACACCACCAAAGGCAGGTGAGCCTATCTTCAGCCAGCTCAGAACACTGGATGAGCGAGCGGACCTTCCCAAAGCGCAGGGATGCTGCCCTGGAGTGTCTGACTTAGCACACCCAAAAAGGGAGGTGCACCTGCTCGTCCTAGCAGGGAGTAGTGGCCTAAGGACCTGCTATGGCATCTTTTGAGATGCCTGGCATGCGACTTGCGCTTTTGGGCCCCAACCTGCCGCCAGGTGAAGGGCGGTGTGACCACCATGATCCTGTCGAGCTGTCAGCATCACCAGAACATCCCAAGAGGTGGGGAAAATTATTCAGGGCTCGTCGCATGGTTTTTTGTGGCTGAAACTTAGTGGGTCCCGGCTCAAACGGACCATACTGTTGGATATTTGGACCCTCTCAGCGACACTTGCTGGTTCGATAGGCAGGGCCTGCCAGTTTATTGATTTGTTGTTTGACTCTTGCGCGCTTCTCTGGGTACATGACCTCCCCAAAAAACAAAACAAGAAGAACAAGTTGGGTTGCGGTCCTTTGCAAACACGTGCTTCACCAAACTGCTAGATGCTGGATGCAGGATCCTGGACCCCCACAGAAAACGAGCTGGTCAAGCAATGGCATGCTGACTGCCTGAAGAGGAACTACCCGCATTAAAGATCCTATGGGCTGACATCTGAGCGCGTCTGCAAATCTTCTTGAGTCAGCAACTCATGGATTCTTGACAGGCTTCGCTACGGCAACGTCATGGACAAACCCAAGCACGCGGGCCCGAAGTCGAGTGGAAATGGCCCAACATACCACGAGGGCCAGCCCCATCCAGAAGAATCTATGCAGAAGAATCGAGCTTTGCAGCAAAGGAGTTCAAGAGAAATGGGGGAAACTCTCGGCATGTCCCCTGCACGCCCCCCCCCCCCGTCAGGAAGGTTCATGGAAGGCTGGGGATGGGGGAGAGGGGCCTCACGTCTCTTCGGAGCCAAATCGACCGCTCAAGAAGGGTTCGAGCAAAGAAACTGCCAAGAGGAAGCCAACCTGCCGCTTTACGCCCTAAAACCACCAAACACCCGGTAGGTTTGTCAAAAACCAACGGGTGGCAAGAAAACAAAATAAACCCAGAGTATTCGCCAGCTCCTTTCGCGCAATTCCAAAACTGGACCAGCCAACATCCGACAAGTTAGGGGTCCCCGCAGAACCTTCCCCTCGTATGATGGACACTCAGTCTATTTGCAAACACTCTGTGTCAGGCTGCGTTTTTGTTGGAGAACTTCTACGAGTCGATGGAAGATGGCAGCCCCCCCCCCCAATGTCCTGCATATTGGCCTCAAAGCCAGGGCAGTCCAGCAGCGCCCTTGGTGACCAGGCGGCAAATTGCATTTGACCCCGAGAACGCAAGGAATCGAGGGGCTGAAAATTCTGAGCAGCTTCGCGAAAGATCAAGCAAAAGCCGTTTGGCAAGGGCTGTGAAAGCTAAAGCCTTGTACTGGCATGACTGGCATTTACCCCACGCAACAGCCACGTGCGAAGTACTGAGTCGCTCAAACAAATCCACTGGCTAGTGATTGCTCCGATCTTCTTCTATCAAAAACGCCCCCGGTGATGCTTTGACCCTATGGGCAAGGGGCACTTTGTTTTAACTGTGTACTCCCAAATTCTGGGCCAATTCTGTCGGTTGCTCGCGGATCCCGACTGCAACCAAAACACCTACACTCCCTTTTTGAATGCAGGCCCACGAGAGCCAAGTAGAGGAGCACCAAACGACCCCCTCTTGAAATCGAAACCTCTGAACCCCCGCCCCCCACCCCTCCCCCCCCCAAACAAAAAGGAAAAAGACGAGGAACACTTCCACCAGCTGGACCCCTGCACCTCGTCACATAAGGCGCGGGCTTTACTGCCATGGCATGCCTCAGCTCGATCGCGATGGCTGCCGTTCGCTCGCCGTTCTCTGCAGCTGCGCCCGCTCCGCACGGGTTGCCAGGGTTCGACGGCTCAATTGGCTTAAAAATGCAGCCAAACGAAGCGGAATAGTTTAAGCAACCCCTCGAGCCAACTTTCACCGAGGCTTATTCTTTATTTAAGCCAACCCCTTTACGGAAGGTTGAGGCCATCTTAGTCTACACAACTTCCGGCTTAAGCCGAGTTGCGGCCATGTTGCGGCCATGCTGGTTGTGGCTCATGTTCGCACACATGCACTGGATTCATTTTCGAACACAGCCCGGGGCTCGTTTTCAAACACAAAACCTTTTAGGGTTGTGTAATGGGGATCAGTGCGCACGGACAGACTCGCACATGAGCACACGGGCACGCCACACGGGCACGAAAGCACACGGGCACAACGCGGGCACACGGGGCACACCAAGCTCACGGCACTCAGGGTTGCGGCACACGCGCGCAACACGGGAACACAGGCACGCAAGATCCCGGGGACACAACTCGGACGCGCGGGCGCACACCAAGCGCATGCACACGGGCACGCGGACGGGTTTTAGCTTTGGTTGAAAGCTTGGCTTCAGGGTGAAAACAGCTTAGGGTTTAGGTTTGGCTTGGGGTTTGAGGTTTGGGGTCATCACGGTTCTGACTTTAAGCTTTCCTTCGGGGTCACGCGGTTAAGCTTTAGGGCTTAGATTTGGGGTTGAAAGCAAAGTCAACAGGGCTCAGGCTTCTTGGTGGGGACTATCGGTTTGGGGCGTTCACGGCTTAGGCCTTAAGTTGCGATTTCGGGCTTAGGGTCTAAGGAGTTTATGGATCGCGCCGGGCTGGTACTGACCATCATGTTTGCAGGCACAGGCATGTCTGCAGTTCTCTCATTTGGCAGGCAGGAGTGCAGCGCTGGGCGTGTGCTCTTGAGCGGGTGCGCTTTGCATGTGGCATTTGCCCTGGAGCGGATGTGCTTATCATGTGGCAGGCATGTGTGCAGGCACGCGTGTGTGGGGTGCTGGCCTGGCTCAGTATCTTCAGCAAAAAACGTGAAAAAAAACACTGCGGATCAGTACCAGTCCGGAATGGACCATGCTTTTGGCATCGGGGTGGTGTGTTCTGTGTTGATTCTGTTTGTATTTTTCTAGAGGTTTAATGTGTATGTATATTTGTGTCCCCCCTAGGACCGGAAATACGTGGACTGGATTCCTGAATTTCTGGATCTCTGGATCTCTGGATTTTTCTGGATTTCTGAAATTTCTGAGGATTTCTGGCTCTCTAGGTTTCTGGATCTCTGATTTTTTGGGTTTCTCTGGATTTCTGCATTTCTGGATTCGTTCCGGACTATGCGACAAGAAAGGGAACACAAAGTCACAACCAAAGAAAACAATCAAGGGAACAAAGGCGAGCAAAGTCAAGGGAACTCTCACTCAAGGCACCTCACCTGATGTATGCGACAAGAAAGGGAACACACAGTCAAGGCAACAAAAGCGAACAGCCAAGGGAACAAAAGGAAACGCACCTCTTCGGGTCATCTGGGATCTGTCTCGGCGTGTGTCTCTGTCTCTGTCTCTGTCTCTGCGTCTCTGCGTCTCTGTGTGTCTGTGTCTCTGTGTCTCTGTCTGTGTCTGTGTGTGTCTGTGCCTGTGTGTCCGTCTGTGGTTGTGCTTTTGTATCTGTCTGTCCCCAGCCTTTTGGGGCGGCGGAACCAGGCCGGAGGCCATGAAATAGTCAGGTTTCGATAGCGGGTTTAGGGTCATTACAGTTTAGGGTTCAGGTTCTGGTTCAGGTTTCAGGGTCGGTTTAAGTTTTAGGGTCAACACGGTGCAGTGTTTCGGGCGTAGGTTCAGGGCTAGCATGCTTTAGGGCTTAAGTTTGAATTTTAGGATTCGACAACACATGCCTGCCGACTACGGCTTGGCAGTCATGGACAACCATAGGAAAAAGGGGTGTGGCTAGACATCTTGACATACAAAGAGATATTATTAATATGTGTTTTGCCACCTGCCCGGCGAGCTGAGGAAAACCGGCGCATGAATTGGGACATACCCTGTTGCTTGGGGCAGGGGTCAATGTGAAGCTGCGTGCTGACCCTTTGTCCTCACACACTGCAACCCCCAAGTATGCCATGTCCCTGAGCACACTTTCCTTGCGCCTGTTCGCGCCAGTGGGCGAATCCTGATCCTTCCCCTAAGAACCACAGAGATCAAGCCCTTCCAACGGATTGCCATCAAAGAAAGCTTGGAACTAAACGAAGTCTGAACACGCTGGCTACGTCGCGACCCAAACCATCCCACATCCCAACTGCCGAGCACGCCGGCCCTTCTTTGGCGGCGCAGTGAAGGGCAGTGCCACCCGCAGCACTCCTCAGCATAACCCCGCCCCAGGATCAAAAACAAAACAAACGGCAAAGAAGCACCCCTCCCTATGTCTGACGCCCATCCAGAAATTCAACCTTCCCTTCTGTGCCAACCTGCCCTTCACAAGTGGCCGACTAGGGCCGGGTTTGCGTAAGTTGTTTGCATGATATGCATCCAGCGCCAGGCCGATTTGGGGCCGGCGCCTGGCCGCCGCCAAGCGCTTGGACCGGGGATGGTTCAGCAGCGCCAGCAGGGTGGACGCCTCAAAGGGGCTGGCTCGGTGCCCTAGGTTGGCTCAAAGGAACCAAAAGGAAAAGCCACCACCTTTTTTGGGGGGGGTCCCCAGAAAAAGGGAACCAGCTTTCTTTTTGGGATTGATCCCATTTTGGGAGCACCCCACCAAAAAAATCATTTGGAGGGTGGAATCCAGCGAAGCCAACGAATCAAAGGAATCCCTCCAAACCGAGTTGATTTCTCACTGATCAGTCGGCCGCCCCTGAGTAGCACGGTCCTTGGGTTGATAGCGGTTTTGATCGCCGGCGGCCTTGCATTGAAACAAGCTCAACCCGACAAGCTAGTTCAAGTAGGTCAGTGTTCACCCTTGCACATGAAGCGAAATCAAAAGAAAGCTCCGCCCAACAACTCACGAGGGCATTCTGAAATCCTGTGTTTTCCCGTTTTCAAGCACCAGGTTCCAATCAGTTTAGAGCCCCTTGACGTCTGTGCTGGGTTGACCATGCGCAGCCCCCTTGTTGCCGTCCACCTTTTCCACGCCAGTGGCGTGAGCGCGCGGGGGATCTGCACTGCACCCCGGAGCCCTGGGGCTCGCTCCCAGCCATGCTTCGCAGCCGCGTGGATCGCAGTCTCCCCGGCAGCCGACGGCGTCCTGCAGCATATGGCTGGTTCATGTTCCAATCTAAACGCAGAAAATCTCATGGGGGGTCTAGGGATCCAGGATGTTGGAGTCCCGTTCGTTTCACCATCGTTATTGTTCGCTTTTTGAGTGAAAACGCGGCCAGATCCCTAGGCGGCTGGTGGCTTTGCTGGAAAGAAGGATCCGTAAAAGGAATGGGGAAGTTACCCCAAAAGCATGGTCGTACCCGACATGGGAGACTACTTTCGGGTTGGAAAAGGGATCAGCTGCACCAAGCTACTGGCGTGCTTCCCATCCCTCTCGATGCCAACCTTCCGTCCTGCTTCCTGCCTTCCTGCCTTCCTGCCTTCCTGCCTTCCTGCCTTCCTGCCTTCCTGCCTTCCTGCCTTCCTGCCCTCCTTCCGTCCTTCCGTCCTTCTGTCCTTCCGCCGTCCTTCCGTCCGTCCGTCCTTCCGTCCCGCCGTCCGTCCTTCCCTCCTTCCCCCTTCCCTCTTTCCCTCCTTCTCCTTCCTTCCCCCTTCCCTCTTTCCCTCCTTCTCCTTCCTTCCCCCGTCCTTCCATCCTTTCCGTCCTTTCCGTCCTTTCCGTCCTTTCCGTCCTCCTTCCCTCCTCCTCCATCCTTCCGTCTGTCCCTCCTGATTCTGCAGCCACCACAGCTCGCTCGCCACAAGCAAGTGGGTTGTCGGAAAAGTGCAATTACTGCCACTCATGTCCAGCAAAATCAACGCACGTAAGCCTTCTAGTTTCACAAACTGCAAAAACATTCAACAACATACAGCAACAGTCAGTTCAAAGCATTCCGACTAATACAAACACATACAACATACCACAAAAAAGCAAGCCAGCAACACAAAAGCAAACCGGAAAATGTGAACATGCAAAAACACACACACACACACACACACACACACACACAAATTTCAAGGAACATGTGCCCAAGCCATCCAAAGCCCCCAAGCCCCAAGCCCCAAGCCCGTGTCGAGCCTCAAGGTGGTATCCCGGAAGTGGTGGTGCTCCAACAACCGCTGGCAGAAGCTGGTGAGTCCCCGCCCCGCGCCTTGGACGCAAGAAAAAAATGGGCTGGCGGCGAAACGACCAAGTCCTTACAGAACTCCTGGTGCTGCTTAGCTCCCTTTTTACAAGCAAATGTTCAAGGGGTTGATTCCTTTTCCATTCTGTTCAACCATCGGTCTTTTCTCCTTCACAGACGTTTTCCCTGGGTTTCCGGAGGTTTTCTAGAAAGAAGGATCCCTGGAAAGAATGGGGAAGGTACCCCTGGAAATTTGGATAGCGGGTCCCAGCTCCGGCTCCCTTCCAACCCCCCAACGAGTAAAGGGGGGGGGTGGTGTGCCATGAGTTTGTGGCGCTTCAGCGCCATGGACACTCAAAAGGTTCAGCACCAAAGCCGAGAAGTACAGAATACCCAACAAAGACAACAGTCCGAAACAGGGTCCTTATCCAACATTACCCCCTCCAAACAAGTGGCTTCTTTTTTGGCCTGGTGGAGAATTCTTTTAACTGGCCAAGCATGGCCATGAGGACCTCTGCTCAAGAAGAGCGATCGCAAAAGACTACGGTAGTCATGTTTTGGCAAGACCTGGCACCTGAGATACCGCGACTCCGACCGGAGCAACCGGCGACAGTAAACTCAACATGTCCAAACACGTGAGGTGGAAGAAACTCCCAGGCTGACATAAACACATAAACACATAAATACTGAGAGAGATAGAGCTCCGGCACGCAAAGACATAGACTGTCACAGGCACCTGCCCCTCAAAAAAGCGAACCACAAAAACGAACCCCAACACCAACCTAACGCTAACCCGAACGCTAAGACTAACCCAAACACTCACACTCACACCAACACCAACACTGATACTGACACACACACACACAAATCCGAACAAACACAAACACAGAGACAACGAAGACAACCACAACTGCAAACACACATGCATTCTCTCTCGCACATGTTCTCACACCCGTGGAAAGAAATGTTCACTGGACAAAGACTGTTCAACATGGCGAAGCTCAGCAAACACCTCAAATGTCCTGTGGGCCCTGGGCGTGCAACTGCCCTTCCCCAATGTGAAAAAGTGCGTGAAAGGATCACTTCGAGATGTCTGCGCCTATAGCCGGCCGCCAGGCGCGCCTTTTTCATCATCTGATGTTGGAGGTCTTTGAGGGGTCTTCCCTTAAAGACGGCCTGAGAGGTTGATTCCTTGCCGGCGTCTGGCTGAACCAAGCGCGAGCCTAAATACCTGCCCCGTTTCGGTGGGGGAAGCAATGCACAGCTGCAACAGTGCCAGTTGCCAAACCGAACGATGTTGTGGGGTTGGCTTCGTCAACGCCCAAGTATGCCTGGGCCAGCTCAAAAATCAAGGGCCACTAGAGAATCATACCAATAAAATGGAACATCTGGAGAATGAAGTGAGGGCACGCTGGTAAATTCGGCTGGGCGCAGCAAGAACAACAAGTCCTTGGCAAGCCCGTGCATGTCGGACAACGCTGTAACCAAGGGCTTACAGACTCTATCTGCACATTGCACCATAATTGCAAAAGCTGAACTGAGAATTGGATCCGCAAGAAAAGGACCTTTATCATGGCTTTCGCTCGTTATAGCCCTGAAGCGGTGAGCTCGCTGTAGGCATATTGGACCTCTCAGGCCAATCGCAGCCCATCGGCGCGCATATTGGACCTCTCAGGCCAATCGCAGCCCATCGGCGCGCGAATGGCCAGGGCCACAAAAGCTCATCTGCCAGCCTCGGCAAGACGCAGCCCCCGTTCATCCTGTCCCCCCCCTTCCAAACCCTAGGGAAGATACGGCACCAAGAGCAAAGCTCCGAGCAAAGCTCCCAAGCTTTTTCTCCAAGGCGATGTTCACTTAGCTTGGAAGGCTGACAATTGCAACATTTTTAAACTCAGCTGGCATTCTGACTCACATCCAATCTACTGCAATTGGTCAAGTCTTGTCAATCAGGGGTTCTCTGCCGGACTGGTCAACACCAAAATCCATGTCAGCGAGTCAGGCTCCAGCCCAAAACCGCCATCACAACCCCATATTTCTCCGTTGAACATCACCATGCCAACCGGAAACTCACAGCAAATTTGCCCAAAGCTGATGTTTAAAACCGCCGCAAAGGCAAATCTGGCGAACCTTGAGTTGAGTTGATGGGCGACGCTCCAGGTGAGTTGCCCGCAACACTTGCGCAAAGGTCTTTTCCCAATGTTAGCCAGCCTGCGAAAGCAGGGCCTGTATCTAGCTGTCGTGCGTTGAGAAACGCAACGGGTGCTTCTTAAATCCGGCGATCTGGTCGGCAACATGTCCCGGGATTCGACCTCGTGGCAACGAGCCTGCTTGCGACTTTGAAGTGTCGTGTTTTATCCAGTCCGCTCTCGAATCTGTGCAAAGTACTATAGCTCGCTTCCTGGAGTCCATAAACGCCACGGGCATGGGTGAGCTCATAGTTTTGCGCAGAACAGAACTCTCTGCGCAGAGGAGTAACCTTCGGCTCAATGCGCCGCAAGCCTTGAACGCAAGACACCCAAACAGCCAGGCCCCGGCCAAAACGGATTCGGCTCTCTTTCAGGCCTCCCTGGCGTGTGTGCGAAGCCTATTGCAATGAAAGGCGGCCCAAAGCCCCTCGAGCGCGGCCCAACTCTGCCAGATCAATCAAATTTTGTTTAGGAATAGGGGTGTCCCAGCCTTAGTGGGGAATCATCACTTTCGGAGGGGAACACACTGTTCTCGACTTTTAGGGACGGTCTTTCTTTCTCGGCCTTCCCTTTCCGGCCTGCGTGCTCAGCTCTCAGCGCGCCATGAAAGCCTGTCTGAGAAATCAAACCGCGCGAAACCCCCCTTTGGGCCAAATAGGTGGGAAGCTTCCGGAAGCTTCCCCAAGGCTTCCGGAAGACTTACGGAATTGTGAAGCTTCGGGGGAGCGGACGGGAAGGGCAGGGGGACGGGGAAGGAAGGGGTGCGAGGGGGACGAGCATGAGCGTAGGGGTGGGTATCATTTTCCAGCGCTTGTCGCGCCGCCAGTCAGTGGGGAACCCTTTGGGAGCCAAATACTTTGGCAGTGCTACAACACTCCAATGGCAGTGCTATAGCATGTCTCAAAGGGGGGGGGTTATGCTTTCTTAAATCTTAAGCGATACGTTGCCCTGTCTCGAAATTCCCCTGGAGCACCAGCCATGGGTGCCAAAAAGAGATGGGCGTTTCAACTAGCTTCAACTCAACGAGATCACATGTGAGTTCAAGGTTGTATATTTGGGGGGGTGCACCGACAAGGACACCGCAGCGAGCACCAAACAAGGACCCCCCACAACGTATGTCACAATGTCACAAGGTATGTCCTCAGGTATGTCTCCTTTTCCTTCATTTTTTAAATAAGAGGTCCAGTAAATCTTGCAAAAGCACCAGTTTTTCTTCAGCATGACAAATCCCGGTGAAGTCTGAGACAGGATGGATGTTTGCCATTGTGCATCACAGGCTTTTCAGAGTGATCTCCGTGTGAAGTGACAGGATTAGCGAACTGGTGCTTGAACCTCCTTCCACTCAAAGGAGAGGGAAACACAGTTCTGTCAACGACGGGGGAACCCGGGACCTTAAAAGGAACGAACCCCTCCGTGACTGCGACCTCTCCCTTAACCTTGGGGCTAGCGCGGTGCAACGCGCTGTTTTCAGCACTTGAGCCAAAGCAGTGATTGGATCATGCTTTGGCAACCACTTGAATGTACATCATGCAACTGACTACATGGGGACCTACCTCATGTACCTCTGGGCCATAAATGTCATCGTGATAATTGACTCCCCCCTCATTGACGGCACTGAGGGAGTGTCTTGGGCGCATTACCACGCCAACTTGAAGTCAAGTTTACATCACAACGACTGACACAAGTTATTCAAGCATCACCCAGGCACTTTGCACACTTTTGGAAATTTTGCGGACATGCTGCAGCGCACTAGGCAGCTGCTTTAGCGGCTCTACTTTCACGAACGTCTTCAAGCTTCTCTGGAAGGTCAACACGAATGCCGAGCAACCGGATGGCATGGTCCCACTTGTTGGGTGGAAGTGCTTTCGTGAAGATGTCCGCTGACTGCATGTCGGTTTGGACGTATTCTATCGAGATGTGTTCGCTTTCAAGCTGCTCTGCGATGCACGCGAGGTTCACCTTGTGTGTTCGCTGGACACAGCGTAGCTTGGATGAGAAACCTTTCCTTGCTACGAGGATAGTCGCCTGATTGTCCTCGTGGATCTTGAGATGGAATGGTCGGTCCAAGATCAGCTCCCACAAGCTAAGCGCAGGGAGCGCCTCCTGATAAAGGGAGTATGCGAGAGATACAATCTCCGCCTCGGTCGTTGATCGGGAGACCGATGTCTGCCTTTTGGATACCCACGCAAGCGGAAAATGCGTGTGCGGACCACTCAAAATCAAGAATCCTCCGGACGTGGATTTTGCATCTCGCTCTCCGGCGAAATCGGCGTCCACATAAAGGGACAGATGCAAATCCTCAGTCGAATCTTGGACTGTGCCTACTAGCGTGCTGTTGACCGTGCTGTTTATGTAGCAAACAAGCCTATGTAGCTGCTTATCGCAGTTTCTAGACCATTTTTGAACAAATGAGGCAAGGTCGCCAATGGGCTTGACCAGGTCTGGGCGTGCCAAACGGCCGAGCCACAAGGCTTTCATCAACACGCGGCAAGCAGCGAAGCCGAGCTCACCCTCCAAGGCGTCATCTGCAGGATCGAGGGATCCAGCGGGACAGAATGGAGTGGTGGCATCACGCAACTTTTCACTTTTTAGCTGTGCAACCTCAAGATACAATGCCACCGTCTGACGGGCATAATCCCGCATGTCGAACGCCATGCCCCCTTTCAATCTGCCCATTGCGGCATTAAGATCGGGTTCAGTTGGGTCCTTTGGAGCATCTATCAAAAGGTGATTCCTGCCTAGCACCCGATATATGTCTTCTGGGGGTTCTATATCAACCAGTCTTGTTAACTTTTCCCAGAAGTCTTTATGAAGGTGGCTGGGGCCGGCCAACGTCAAGTC